CAACCATCAACACTGTGCTTTGATCAAAAACCACTATCTCTGCTTTCACATCCAATCCCAAATCCCCTTTGATTACAGTTATGGGTTGCTCTTCCTTGTTCATTAGGAGTGATCCACTTGCAAATTCAACATTGTCTTCAATAGAAATAATTTTAAAAGTTAACATTTCCTTATAATTATACAATGCTGAATTTCTTCATTATCATATTTAAAATCCTCCGTACTTCAATGAATAAAAATATTAGTCATATCCCTAATTATCTCTTCTTTTTCAACAGATTGATCTATAAATACAAAATACCCTTTTCTCATTAAATTTAAGGGTTTTTGTATCTTTCAATGCAGTAACCTCTGTAGTGACAAATTTAGGATTTTCTTTGATAAAAAAATCACATACCTTTATATGTTTACTTCTTTGATGTACAGGTCGCAGTTTTATTGTAGGGATAGTAAATCCCCAGCTTGGAGGTGTCAATCTCCTAGCTTGGGATGATCTTGCTCCAGTTGTGGATCTGGATGTGGTAAAATTCTTTCTTTGCACTACACTGATTTCAGTCTACTCCCCTACGCCATTTACATCGGCTTTGGGGGGTGTTAGTTACCCAACTTTTCTCTGCATTCATGCTCATGTCAATGTCAGCATGCATCGAACCCATAAGTATGATCAAACATAACAGCAGGCCGTTTCCACTCAAACTCACGCTCTGATTTATGTCGATCTCCACAAGAATTCAAACAATATGGATCTAACACCGTAGATCTCATCTCGTTCGATGTGTGTTGTTACAATCTTTCTTTTTGCAACAATTTTTAAACCATCTTCGTTAAGTTGTTGATTTTCTTGTATATTTGGTCCCGCACGGCATTCCTATAGTTGAGTCTTCCACAATTAGCCATCATAGTCGCTAAACGATTTTTAACCGTGTTGTGATACCACTTGGTACAAACGGAGCCGGAGAAAATCCGGCCTTATTTCGATCTTAAACAAGTAAAACCTCAGAAATAATGGAGGAAATAAGTGGTTAAAAATCAAGCCAAGGATGAGAAGAACTTATTTCTTCTTTCATGAAAATAAACTCTCTACAAAAATTACCTAGTTCCCTTAACATAAGCCTATTTCTTCAATATATGCCCCTTAAACACTCTCTTTATCTTTGACTCCCGTGCCACATAAACCCATAAGTCATACGAATTAAGTCAACAAATCCCACAACATTCTTTAAGTCAACAAATCCCACTAATTCCCATCTCAAGAGTGATTTCCTCTCAATCAACAAATCCCACTAACTTCAATCCCAATGATGCTTTCCTCTCTAAGTCAACAAATCCCACTAACTCTCATTCCATGAATGCTTGCCCCTCTAAGTCAACAGATCCCACTAACTCCAACCCCAAGAGTGCTTTCCCTCTGAGCCAACAAATCCCATTAACTCTCACCCCAAGAGTGCTTTCCCCTCGAAGCCAACAATCTCACTAACTGCCATCCCAATAATGCTTTATCCACTAAGTCAACAAATCTCACTAACTCCCATCCCAATAATGCTTTCCCATCTTAGTCAACAAATCCCATAACTCTCATCCCCGGAATGTAAAAATCTATTCCAAGTCAACAAATCTCATAACTCCTAATAAAAAAAAAAGTTTGAAATAAATCAATTTTTTTTTAATTCGATCTGCATCATGCTCCCCAGGTTGGAAAAAAAACTTGTCTCGAGTTTTGTGGAAATTGCATCCATTTAGATGGCCAATTCAATCTAGTTGTGCTATAGTGGGGAAGATCCAGAGGAGGGCCTACTCAAAGTAAGAGCACCACTCGTGGGCATTAACATGCTGAAAGATGGACGTATATGTTATAGTGCCATCTGAAGAGTTAAGCAAGTTATTCTAAATTACAGTGCTAAAAAGATGGATGGCGCTTGCACTTATAAAATGGAGAGTGGCAATAGAGGTCTACCCACTAACAAGGGATAGTTCATGAAATGGTGTTCCTCTCCATGGGCACCCAAAACCTTCTATGTAATAGGTGAAGCCCACCAAAAACTTGCAGAGGTTGTTCTAGAAATAGAATCAACAAAGGATCATTACATTTCATAGAACCATATATCACCTTTAGAAGGGCCATATCATGGCAATATGAAACCAACTTTCTAGTAATTGAAAGCAAGGGAGGGTATATGATACAAATAATCATTGAGAGTTGTCTATGGTGAGGCCCCCAATATTTTTCTTTTCTAAATGGCAAACCCACAATATGCATGTCAAAGAAGGGAGGGGGAAGGAAACCTCGTACTAATCTGGACCTAGAGGAAACTCTTATAGGAACTAGTGACCTACTTGCACAACATTCCTACCAGTTGTAACCACCTTCCTTCTAGGATTATCTATCAAGATGAAAAGAATAAGAAGACCATCCTTCTATAAGCTTTCAACTTTGAGGGTTTCTAGGAATTCTTATGCTTATAGTTTTCAACTCTGATCATTTTCCTCCTCCTCCTCCATGTATCCAGGAGGCATTATGCCCCCTGATCCAAATGATAAAACAGAAAAGGAACCAAGAAAGATGTTTACTACGCAACTCGTTATGCCCTAGTATTAAGACTAATAATTGATGTGGCTGATTTTGCATCAATCAAGTACAGTAGTTGCCATGTTTCATGGTATTTAAAATTAAATACCACCGAGATATAAATGCATGCCATCATCGAACACTGTGAAGGTTTTGCAACTAGTTTGTCAGAATTGCACTCGCCAGTGGATATCTTATTGTTATCCATGAGCTTGCAATAGGTGAAGCCCACCAAAAGCTTGCAGAGCTTGTTCTAGAAGTAGAATCAGCAAAGGATTATAACATTTCAGAGGACCATATATCACCTTTAGAAGGGCCATATCATGGCAACATGAAAGAAACTTCATGATACAAGTAATCATTGAGAGGTGTCTATGGTGGGGCCCCCAATATTTTTCTTTTCTGAATGGTGAGCCACAATATGTATGTCCAAGAAGGAGCGGGAAGGAAATCTCATACTAATCTGGACCTAGAGGAAACTCTTATAGGAACTAGTGACCTACTTGCACAACATTCCTATCGGTTGTAACCACTTTCCTTCTAGTATTATCTATCAAGATGAAAAGGACGAGGAGACCATCCTTCTATAAACTTTCAATTTTGAGGGCTTCTAGGCATTCTTATGCTTACAGTTTTCAACTGTGATCATTTTCCTCCTCCTCCTCCAAGCCTCCAGGAGGCATTATGCCCCCTGATCCAAATGATAAGATAAAAAAGGAACCAAGAAAGATGTTACTATGCAACACGCTATGCCCTTGTATTAAATCTAATGATTGATATGCAACTAATTTTGCATCAATCAAGTACAGTAGTTGCCATGTTTGATGGTATTTAAAATTAAATACCACTGAGATATAAATGCATGCTATCATCGAAGACTGTGGAGGTTCTGCAACTAGTTTGTCACAATGCCACTCGCCAGTGGATCTATTATTGTTATCCATGAGGGATACTACACAACAAAGTGTTCTTCTCCTTTGATTGAATTCAGGTTATCAATGGTTCTGAAATTCAATGATTGAATAAAGTGAAAAGATCACTTCACAAATGCTGCATTTGCTAGATATTTCTTCCTCAAGTGCTTAAACACTGAAATTCATTTGAAGCAGCAAAGATCGCAGAAAGTTTCAAAACTAAGCAATTCGTTGTTCAATGATTGGGAGCAATACCTGTTAAAGGTTTTTACTATGAACAGAAGTTTTTGAGAATATCCGAAGTCATCTGGTTCTACTTTGAAAAACAAGAAAGCACATCAACAAAAGTTACTTTTCCTATATAAATGCTTTCCACAAATGCCGCAATTTGGATAACTCTTCTACACAAACTTCATATAAAAGAAAATGACACTACTGATTAATTATATAAAAAAAAAGAAAACTGGTGTGCCAGTAGAATTTAACATTCGGAGCAGGCAACTCATGTCTCTATTTCCACATCTGGTATTATTCTGTTGATTGCCACAGAGATAGATATCAATGAAAATAAACTCCAGGGTCCATATCATTTACCATAGTATATAATGAATTTCCACCATGTGAATACTCAAAGTCTTGTACTGGGGAAGGGGAAATTTTCTTTCTAAATTTTTCTTTTGCTAGTTGCCTAGTTGGATTGGTTGATATCCCATTGAAAACTTTCTTAGTTTTATTGAGGTCCCTTTTCAATGTCCCTGTAGAAATATCTCAGCCTATTTATAACCTGCCTTTGTGGGCAAGTATGAAAATAGGCACCTAGAAATAGCCCAAATCACCGTTGAGCCAATAAAGTTAAGAAGGATTCTTTTCCTTTTATCTCTATCAGCAAAACCCCACTATTGGCAGCATTTTTTCCTATAACACTAGGTTCCATTCTTGAAGTTGTGCCTGCAAATAGTTGCAAGCGGAGCTGGCACACACCACCACTATGCTACACACCCGAGGGCCGGTGTCACATGTCGCCACTTGTTGACACGAGTAAAACTGAGAATGGGAATATATATATATATACCCACCACTCTGGGAGAAGTAGTAGACACTTTAATATGCGTTGGGTCCCAATTCAATGTAAGTTTGATCACGACACCCCTCCTAACTCCCCCAAAACTAAGAGCAATTTTCAAGTTTCAGCTTTCAAGAAAGATAAATAACAACAGCATAAGGAAAGACTATATGAACAAAAGGAAAAAAATATTTATCCATAACCAAGTACATGCGTATATGACTAAACATATACCCTTGACGCTAAAATGCACTATGTTGCATGATTACAAACTCCAAAGCACATCAGGACTGTATTCAAAGCACCAAGAAGAACCAGAAATACATCAACAAATACGTTGATAAGGTACCCAATCATCAACGGAAAAATGAGATAGATAGATAAATGCATCCGGTATCAAAGAGAATGAGCAATTTAATTCCATTTGAGGAGAGAGAGGGAGAGAGGCTTCACTTACATCCTCCCATGTTGGAAAAGCCAACTTGAGCGACTCGAAAGCACGACGAGAGTTCACATCAGTGGTGTTCTGAGACAAAATGACGCTCACGAGCCCATCCAATACGCTCCCTCCTTGAATCAGTGGCGCAATTCGAACCTCTCCCTCATCATCCAGCTTTTGCTGTTTTTCTTCAAAAGAATCATTAACGACCGCCTCCTTTCTTCTAAACTCTGCAAACTCTTCAGGGAATCCATGTAGAGAGATAAGAGCGTCTCTAACAATAAGGCATTCTTGAGGAGTGGGCCTTTGGAAATTAGGGTAAGGGCTACGGGGATTTGCAGAAGTGGTGGTTTCTGAGTTGGGAAGAAGATGATGTTCGGAATGGTGGAGAAGAAGGGTAGAAGGGGGAGGCGGAGAGCTGATGCGCCTCTTCTTTACTTGTGTCTTTCTGGACATCCCCATGCATCAATGCTTCACCCAGGGAAGCAATGCTTCATCCTCACATGGCAGTAGAGAGAGAGAGAGAGAGAGAGAGGTAGGTTCGTAGTGAGACGACGACGGACAAGTGGAGTATTCGAGGTACGGTACGAGGACGTAGGTACGGACTTAAAGGTTTAAGGGGTAACGGGTAAACCGGGTCGC